TATTAATATAAGTATAAACAGTGTATTGTACACAAGCCAGCCACAGATAATTTCTTTTTTTTTTTTTTAAGATTTATTTATTGCATATACAGTGTTCTGCCTGCATATATCCCTGCAGGCCAGATGAGGGCACCAGTTGTCATTACAGATGGTTGTGAGCCACTATGTGGTTACTGGGAATTGAACTCAGGACCTCTGGAAGAACAGCCAGTGCTCTTAACCCCTGAGCCATCTCTCCAGCCCGGTAATTTCTTATTTTATGTTTGAGCAGGTAAAATACACATCACATGCTTGTAGTTACTTTACGTTAATTTTCCCATGTCTGTACTCAGGATTTTTAGGGAGTCTTCCTTGATCAAGCCTGATTTTTCTTTTCTTTTTGGTTTTTCGAGACAGGGTTTCTCTGTGTAGCTTTGCGCCTTTCCTGGAACTTGCTTTGTAGTTCAGGCTGGCCTTGAACTCACAGAGATCCGCATGGTTCTGCCTCCCAAGTGCTGGGATTAAAGGTGTGTGCCACCACCACTAGGCACCTGATTTTTCTTAACCCAGAATGAGTCCACCGCCTCTTATCTTCTGTGGAAACAAAAGCAGAACCTCCTTCCCAAAGCAACATATCTTCAGACTCAAATTTTGAAGTCAAGATATTTTCAAAATATATAGATTGGTTTAGCCTAGCAGTCCCCACAATCAAATGTCTCTCAGCAGTTAGCTTGTTAAAAGTCAAAACATCCAAAGAAAACAGCATACATAATCCAGACTGTGCATTTTTCATCCTCTTATGGCTCATTTTCTTTATATTACTTTACTCCCCTTTCTAAGGACTTTATTTTATTATTTTAAATCTATATTTTTAATCTAAGGCTGTATATATTCTTTTTCTTCTCTTTCAAGCCTACGTATGGTGGTATTTTATTTGTACTGAAAGGTGATTTTAATTGTATGTTAATAAATAAAGTTGCCTGGGGGTCAGAGCTATTAGAGCCATAGCAAGAGCATGGCGGTGGTGGCGCACGCCTTTAATCCCAGCACTTGGTAGACAGAGCTGGGTAAGTTTCTGTGTGTTCAAGGATACAACCAGCATTGGAGACACATGCCTTTAAGACCTGGAGGGCTGTACTTACAGGCAGTGATGAGGTAGTCACATGTTTGGGTTTACAACCAATGAGAAGGCAGAACAGAAAGACTATCTAAAAACAAACACACAGGAAGTAGGTCTTTTTCAGAGAGGTAGGACCACCGCAGGAGGAAAGGTAAGGTTTTAGCTCTGAGGTCTGACCTCTTGGCTTTCTCTTTTACATTGGCCCTGTGTTTCTTATTTAATGAGATGGTTGGTTACCTCTACACCTACATACATCTTTTAAATACACCGTGACCTGTTTAGAGGCCTTTCTGTCTGAATTTGTCCTTATTGTTCATCTCTAACCCTTTCTGTCTGTCTGAGCAGAAACCCTAACCCACCACAGCGCATGCAGCTGTGTTCTCAAGCCTGTAGGCAGCAGCTGAGACAAACCTCTTTCTGCAGCCCATGTAAGACTGGGAATCCCCCATGTTGCAGCTCAAGCCCACATGCCATGGTGTCTCTGTACTGCAGCTCGCGTGAAAGATGCAACTACGGAGTTGCTTTTGGCTTCTTGTCTGTGTTCTAGTGTTGTGTGATATTTTGTTTGTGTTCTGACAAACAAAGCTTGTCTGGAGATCAGAGGGCAGAGCTAGCCACTAGTTAACCATGGAGGCCAGGCCGTGGTGGCACACACCTGTAATCCCAGCACTTGGGAGGAAGAAGCAGGAAGATCAGGAGTTCAAGGCCACCCTGGGCTACATGAGATTGAACCAGTCTAGAAGAGAAACAGGTGATGGTGGAATACACCTTTAAGCCCAGCACTAGTGAGGTAGATACAGGAATATAAGATGGGTGGACACAGGATCTCGGCCCCCATTCGGTCTGAGGATTTGTTTTTTATTTTATTTGATTTTGATTTTTTCAAGACAGTGTTTCTCTGTGTAGTTTTGGTGCCTGTCCTGGAACTCACTCTGTAAACCAGGCTGGCCTCGCACTCACAGAGATGCGCCTGTCTTTGCCTCCTGAGTGCTGGGATTAAAGGCATGCGCCACCACTGCCTGGCCTATCTGAGGATTTGTAGAGATAAGAAGTCTCTAGTGGCTGCTGCTCTGCTTCTCTGATCTTTCAGCTTTCACCCTCGATATCTGACTCAGGGTTTTTATTTAATAAGATTAATGAGGATTCTAGAACCCTTTTTAAAGCTTCCTCAGGCTTTATGTGAATGTTCCTGCAGCACATTGGAGTGCCATATGTAAACAGAGGTGGAACTTTTGTCCCATCTGCCCAATTACACCCGGTAGTCACTCCCCAAATTAGCATACAGAGGCTTATATTAATTATAAATGTTTGGCCAAAGGCTTAGACTTATTACTAGCTAGCTCTTATATCTAAATTAACCCATTTCTATTATTCTATGTAATATTATGTGACCCATGGCTTACCAGTTCCTTCACATCTTGAAGTGTCTGCCTCGACTCCGCCCTCTTCCTCTGGGTCCTCAGTTTGATTGAACCACCTCACCTTATCCTGCCTTGCCACAGGCCAAAAATGCTTTATTATCAACCAATGACAGCAACACACATTCACAGCGTACAGAAGGGTCCTCCCACAGCATCCTGCCGAAACTGGAGCTCTAAACACAAAGGCTTCATTTGCCTCTCCAGTGTCAGACAAAACCCAGGTTTGTTTCCAAAGGTGCCTCATGCCGACGTAGAAAACACCAGGGTTATTCCTCCCCTCATCACGCCCAAGTTTAGACAACCAAGAACAGCTGGGCTGCCTCAGGGTCATGTCTGTTAAGCTTTAAAATGAACAGGGTGTGAGACAGAGACGCAGCAAGCATGGTCTTTGTTCAGAAAGAGAGAAGCAAAGGCTGAGGGGAAGGGCTGAGGTTCACAGGAGGGCTGGAGGGAAGGCTCACCCATTGGGTGAACTCGCTGCTGCTCCACGGGACCCACACTCTATTCCCAGCACCCACAGCCAGTGGCACACACTGTAACTCCAGCTCCGGAGGATCTGGAGCCTTCTTCTGGCCTCCAAGGGCTCTGGCATGCATGTGCACACACACATACATTCAAATAAAGATCTAGATGACACGTTAGAGTGCACCACCCTGGGCCCTCAGGAGAGGAGTGTGGGGTCTCACACCAGGGCTTACAATCTTGCAGACAGCCTGCACATCTGCCTGTTGTTTTAACTTCGGCACAGTGGCTGTACCTTAATTATTATTAACTATTTCAGCCAGCAATTATGACTCTGAAGTTACTGGCCTGCTTCTCTGGCAGCAGACTGGCTGCTCAGGTCACAGCCTGGCAGGAATTCTGTTCACAGGCAACTGGCTCTATCGCTGCCGCTAAAGGTAGTTTTAACTAAATCTCTATCATATTTATAAATAAGACTGGAGATTCAGAGGCTGGGGTGAAAACCTGCTGGCTCAGAGAGGCTGAGTAGCACCCAGCTACCCTTCTCTCCTTGCTGGTGTCCCCCAGAAGAGAGCTTCCTTCTGACCCAAAGTTAATTTATGTAATTAATGCAAATTTGGCGTTCACAGTGTGATCAAACATCCCCCAACACCCGTCACTCTGGGCTCATAGCCCACTTTGCAAGGATATAAAGTACACAGCTTGGTTTTTAAGCACAGTCAGTCTTCAGGGCTCTTATTATGAAGTGAGAATTATTGTTTCTGTGGGTAAACTCCAAGTGTGAGTTTTCTCTAAAGAGGGTAGGTGACAGGGCTCATCAGGGAAAGGTGCTTGTGGCCAAGCCTGACAACCTGAGTTCAAATCCCAGGACCCACATGGAGGGAGGAGTTGTGTGACCTGGCTAGATGTGAACAAATATCTACTAACCCCAATGGGGAACCAACCACAAAGTACTAATTCCAACTTGATGAAACACTGAGTTTATTTGGGTCACCTACAGGAGTAGAAAAGACAGACAGCTGCTTCACCAAAGCCCACCCCAGCAGGGGTGACAGCTCACGGCTGGGAGCCTGGAGAGCAGCCCGACAGGCTGGTGTCCTTTCCAGGATTCTCAGCTTGTCCCAGTCCCTCTCAGCAGCCCTTACAGCTCACGTGCTGGGGGGGGGGAGGGGCTGGTGCATCTGGTCAGTTTTAGGGACTTCCTGAGGTGACTGAGTTGCTTCCTTCCTCAGCTGAGGGAGCTTCATTGTGGGAGGGAGGCGAGCCTCAGAGACAGCCGCACAACCTCCAAACTGTCTCTGACCTCTGCACACAGCACTCAGGAGTCCCTCTTCCCACACGTAAATGAAAGTAAAAAATATTTAAGTTCAAGGCTGGAGAGCTGGGTCTACTACTCCAGAGGACCTGGGCTCAATTCCCAGCACCCACACGGCAGCTCACAACTGTCTGTGACTCCAGTTCCAGGGCTTCTGACACCCTCACACACATACACGCTGGCAAAGCAAACACCAATACACATAAAATTTAAGTTTACGGTCATCCTGGCTGAGCTGCACGAAACCAATGTCCAGAAAACTCCAAAATTAAAAACAAATAACAAAGGCTGAGGCCTCACCTCAGCTGGCAGGGTGCACACCAGGCATGCACAAGACCTTGGCACCCGTGCTGAGCACCACATAAACCAGGTGGGCAGAGCTTTAGGACACCCTGGGCCATGCAGTGGGTTTTCGGACACCTGGACTACAGGAGACCCTGTCTCATAAATAACATAAAGGACTTGCAGAGGACATGAGTCCAGTCCCCAGTCCCCACGTCAGGGGGCTCACAACCACCGGGGGCTCCAGCTCCAGAGGAGCCAATATTGTCTTCTGGTCTCCAAGAGTACCTGCATTCACACACACACACACACACACACACACACACACACACACACACACACACACACACCTGCACACACATACACACACAATTAAAATCTAAATAAATCTTAAAAGAAAGAAAACAAAAGACTCCACGCGGCGGGTACCAGGAAGTGTTTAGTGCCGGAGCATGGGCGCATGCGCAGCCTTCCAGACACACGCCTTGACAAGTGAAGAGAAGGTTCCATCCAGGCCGCCCCTGCACCTCCAGGCAGGAGACCCTATCTCGGCGATGCGAGGCTGGATGTCAATCAGCAGTGCTGGTGAGGTGGGTGGCGGCCGGGGGCACCCGAGGCCGGATTAGGAGACGCTGGGGGGCAGGCGCGCCGCTGCGGTCTTCTCCACCACGAAGCCATAGTTATACTGGGGGAGCGGGGAGAGGGGCTGAAGGAGGTGCTGGGGGCTGGAGGGGTACACTGGGAGTGACTGCGGAGGGGGGACAGCCTGGGGCAGCTGCCCATCCCTGGGGAGTAGGGGACCGGGTGGGGCCCCAGCACTCCATGCAGCCCGGCACTTACCTCCTTCTCAATGTCCGCCAGTGACTTAATGGTCAGGTCCCCGAAGGCAGAAAAGTTCTAGCGGACACAAGTGGGAGCGTGAGGCCCGAGCCCCACCGGACCGTGGTGTGTGTGCACACGCCACGTGCACGCACAAACACTCACCACGGTTTATGAGGGTCAAGGATAACTTCCAGGAGTCGTCTCTCCTGCTATGTGGGACCCGGGAACTGAACTAAGGCAGCAAGGCTTCGTGGCAGGGGCCGACTGAGCTATCTCTCAAACATGCCCCCAACTTCTCAGACGGCGTCTCAGGTAGCCCAAGCTGGCCTCAAACTATGTAGCCAAGGACGAGCTTGCTCCAGAGCCCCCTGCCTCCACCTCCCGAGGACTGGGATGACGGGCGAGCAACACCCTAGCTGGCCCTAAGTCTCCCATCTTTCAGGACTTGCTCCACAAACACTAGCCTCAGCCTCACCCCACTCCTCACAGCCCTACTCTGGGATCCCCTGGTCTCCATCCCCCACCCATTCAGGTCACGGTCACTGTGCTGGATCCCAGGGACGCTGACTCACCAGAGGCCCGCAGCTTTTGCCCTCGAATCGGGGGTGCAGCGTAAAGGGAACCCCATCCATGGCTGCAAGGAAAATTCCCGGAGATGCTGAGGTGGAAGGCCCAGGACACCCTGCAGCCCCCCTCCCCCGCCCGTGACCCCGCCCACCCAGAGCGGCTGTGATTCTGGTTTTGGGTCCCATGCGCTCCTGCAACTCGCCCAAGAGCCACAAGCCCAATAAACCCGCTAGCTCCCTAAACGACTCTGCATTGGTCTGTTGTTGGTGCTCTATCTGGAGAAATTTGTTAATGTCAGCCCGGGAAGAGGTCTCACAGCACACCCTGGATTCTGCCCTGGGCGCCTGCAGAGCATGACCACCAAGGGGGGAAATTACAGCCTGGGGGCTCCCACCACCCACATGGCGGCTCACAACCCTTTTAACTCCAGTTCCAGGGGATCCGTCCTCCTCTCCACCCCACCCAGGGCCATGCACACACATGGCACACAGGACCGCATGCGGGCAAAACATGCACGTACATAAAATTAAAATAAATCTTAAAAATAAAAAGCTTGGTGGGAGGGCCGGGGAGAGGCCCCCACGCAGTGGGGAAGTCATAGCTCCCACCCAGGCTGCAGTGTTTCCACCCTGCTCACCTGAGATGCCATAGAGACTGGACGCCTCATAGATGGAGTCATTCCTCCGCAGAGTGGATGCCCGGGAGCCTAGCCTGGACAGCGTCCGCTCGGGATGGCTGCCTTTGCTGGGGAGCAGGGGACAGTGACCTCAGTCAGGCTGGAAGTCTTCCTCTTGGCCCACCTGCCCACCGGGGTGCCTGGGCCTCACCTGGGCTGTCTGGGTGGGTCCAGCGAGAGGCCCTGCATATCCTGGCTGATAGTGCGGGGCTTGGGCACCGGCCTTGGCGCCTTGGACTTCTTGCACCAGATGGCAAAACCACCCATGTCCCTGGAGCAAGGGGCGGGGACAGGAGGAAACCAATGCTCTGAGAAGCCGGGGCTGGCAGCGCGGGCCTGCATCTCTGTGTGGCCACCATTTGGGGTATTTTTCTTTCCGAAGCGCTACCTCACCCCAACCAGCGTACTGACTTTGGGCCCCTGAGATCCGCATCCCCACATGCAGAGGGATGAGAAAGAGGTCAAATCTGGAGGTCAAATGGCAGGGAAGGAGCTGAGGCCGGGGATGCTCTGTCCTACCCCACTCTCAGGTATCCAGGCACAGCTTTGGTCTTCCCGCTCAGCTTCACGTCACACACAACCATGTCAGCAGCCCCCAGGGGCATCAGCTTCACACACATGCGCTTCTTCTTGGACACAGAGGCCTCTGGGAGTGGGGGCAGGGGAGTGAGAGAGGGGAGCAGGGCAGGGAGGGGGCACCCAGAGGGGAGCACCCAGAGGGGAGCACCCAGGGATGCTCACCAGCAGTGTGTCGGGACAACACCGGGGAGCTGGGTAAATCATAAATGGTGATCACAGGAGGGGATGCACTAACTTTTGGAGTCATCGAAGCTGACTTTTGCTGAATATTTGTGGGGTGGCTGTGGAATCGACAGTGGCGTATCTATTTTGGCACCCCAACCTCAGTTTCCCTGGTCCTATAACAGTGTGTGTGTGTGTGTGTGTGTGTGTGTGAGAGAGAGAGA